TTTGAGGCCTGAAAACTGAAGCGTAGAGCATACTCGAACCTGTCGCCCTCTGGAGACTGACATACGACACCTGCTCCACAACCATTTGAAGTAGAGCTTCCGTCCACATATACCTTCCATACTTGGTCTGGAACTTGAGAGTCAGGAGGACGAGTCATCTCTACAATAAAGTCAGCAAAGGCTTGCCCCTTTACTGCTTTTCTAGGCTCGAAAGTAACTTCGAGGCTCTGTATTTCTATGGCCCATTTGATCATTCGGCCTGACGACTCCATGATGGTCAGCGGCCGCTTGATAGGTTGGTCTGTATACACGACGACTGTATGTGCCAAAAAGTAGGGCTTCAATTTTTTAACAACCATGAAGAGTGCAAGACCAAATTTCTCCACTAGGGGATACCTCAACTCGGCATTTTTCAGTACGTGACTGACAAAGTAGACCGGGTGCTGACAGCCGTCCCTTTCAGCAAGGAGAACAGCGCTTAACGCATGATCAGAGACGGCCATGTACATGTAGAGAACCTCTTTGGGCAAAGGGCTGACCAGCCTCGGCAAGGAATGCAGGTGAACTTTTAATTTCTGGAAGGCGGCCTCAGCATCCGGCCCCCATTCAAACCTTGCCTTTTTCTTAATTGCCTGGAAAAAGTATAGGCATTTGTCGCCTGATCGGCTTAGAAATCTTCCCAAGGCCGCCAGACAACCCGTTAACTTCTGAACCTCTCGGATGGTACGAGGCGACTGCATGTCAATGACCGCCTGCACCTTCTCAGGGTTCGCTTCTATTCCTCTCTGATTGATAAGGAATCCGAGAAATTTCCCAGACTCAACTCCAAATACACATTTCTTGGGATTGAGCATGACATGGTGCCGCCTGAGTGTGGCGAAAGTTTCTCGGAGGTCCGACAGATGATCTTTCTGAAGTTTAGTCTTGACAATCATATCATCAATATATGCCTCGACGTTTCTCCCAATCTGATCAAAGAACACAGTGTTTATCATTTGTTGGAAGGTAGCCGGGGCATTCTTAAGACCAAACGACATGACCGTGTAACAGTATAACCCCTGATCAGTGACGAAGGCCGTCTTCTCCTGATCTTTCTTCCATAAGGGAATTTGATGGAAACCAGAATAGGCGTCCATGAAACTCATCAAGGCATGGCCGGCTGTTGAGTCGACCAGGTTATCAATTTTAGGCAGAGGGTAACTGTCTTTGGGGCACGCCTTGTTTAAGTCTGTGTAGTCTACACACATTCGCCAGGTGCCATTCGGCTTTTTAACAAGCACCACATTTGCAACCCAGTCTGGGAAGTAACATTGCCGAATGAACCCTGCATCAAGTAATTTTTTAACTTCGGCGGCTGCCGCCTGACTTCTTTCTTCGCCATGGTTCCGTTTCTTTTGCCGTATCGGCTTCTTTTTCGGATCCACAGCGAGTTTATGTACCGCCAGATTAGGACTAATGCCTGGCATTTCATGGACTTCAAATGCAAATATGTCCTTGTATTCTTTCAATAGGTTGTGAAAGTCGTCACCAAGCTTTCTCAGAGCAGTCGTCCCAACTTTGACTGTTCGGTCAGGACGTGAGTCGTCTAAGATCAGGTCCGCATGCTCACCAGCCGGCTGAGGGCGGAACTCATCCGACCGCTCCTCTGCCAATGATTGCTATTTTCTCGCTTTTCTTGCGGACTCTGTCTGGGACGCCTTTCTCTTTTTGCCGCCTGCTTCTTGAACAGGCGCACTCTCCTTGACATTGTCAAGGTCTGTTTTTTCTCCACTTGACCCAGTGGCCATAACAGTGGGCTTGACATCCGAGAGATAGCACTCTCGGGCCATCCTCTGATCTCCCCTTAGGGAGCCGACTGTTCCATTATCCCTCTCAAACTTGAGCAACATAAGAGACGGGATTATAACAGCCTTGGAATTATTCAGGGTTGGTCGACCCAGAATCATGTTGTAAGCCGAGAGTTCCTCTACCACTAGGAACCGGACTACCATGTGTCGTCCTTCCCCTTTTTTGCCCAGGCGAATGGGTAAATCTACTCGTCCCAGTGGGTGGACGACTCCTCCTCCAAACCCTATTAAAGGGTGGGAGGCCGGATGTATGCAGTCCGTCTGATATTTCAGTTTCGACAGACATTTGCTGCTGATGAGATCTGAGGAGCTCCCGGTATCTATGAGGATTCGGCCAACTCTCTGGTTGGCCACTTTACATTCAATAACGAGAGGGTCGTCATGCGGCCCCCTTACCCCTCCTAGATCCTCTTCAGTGATGACAATCTCAGGAAATGTATATTTGGACGGCCGTTCTTGGTGAACGGAATTTACATCTAACCGCCTTATATTATCTTTGTTGCCCCTAAAAGTGGGGCCGCCTCCTGAGAAGCCGCCTGCAATGGTGTAGACGACTGCATCATCTGTATCGGAGCTGTCGGCCTGTTGATTCTTTTTGGCCGACAGCTTTTTTGAGAAAGTGTTCCCCGTAGATTTCTTGATATAAGCGTCAAGATCACCTTGCTCAGCCAGGCGGTCTAGGTACCGCATGAGACTGATGCAGTCATTGGTGTGATGACCAACGTCATCATGATAAGCACAGATTTTATCTTGGTTCCGGTTGTTTGCAGAACCCTTCATGGGGACCGGCTTCTCAATTGAGATCCGTCCCTTTATTTCTTTTAGGATAAACTGGTTATCCTTGTTAAACACATACTTTGGGGAGTATGGTTTGAATTCTTTTTTCTTTTTCTGGGCCGGCTGTTTAGAGGAATCATCCGCCCAGACCTCTTTTCTTTTCTCATCTTTGTTAGACGACTGTTTCTGTCGTCCTTCTCTTTTGTCGAACCTTTTCCCGTCCGACTGTTTTATCGTACACAGATCAGTCGCCTGTATATAGGCTTCTGCTTCAATCAAGGCCTCTTGAAGAGTCGCCACCCTTTTTCAAACCAAATCGAATTTGAAGGTAGACCCGTCTTTGAGACCTCTAAAAAAGTCGGTATAAGCTACCTCATCCGGTAACCCTTGAATCTGTATTCTCATCAGGTTGAACCGCCTGATGTAAGAGCGAAGCCCCTCCTTCTCGCCCTGCTGAATTGTTTCCAAATCAAGGGTCGTTTTCTTTGCAGGGATGTTCATGGCGAAGTTGGAGGCAAATAAGTAAGCAAGCGTCCTGAAGCTATTTACACAACCAGTCGGCAGGTTGCCGAACCATTGCTGTGCGATTCCTTTGAGAGTCGCTGGGAAACACTTGCACCAAGTGGGATCATCCAACCCTTGAAGGTACATCAGGTTGGTGAATGCCATCAGATGGTCTTCTGGGTTAGTAGTGCCGTCATAGGCGCCTACTAGTACATTTTTCACTTTGGCCGGCTGAGCGGCTTCAGTAATTTCCTTGGAGAAGGCCGACGGCTGTTCACCAAGTCTAAGCAACCGTAGCTGCCAGTCCATAGGTTGGACGTTTTTTGCTGCAGGTCCACCAAATGGAGGTGGCTGCATAAAATACTGTTGTTGCGGCACAAATGGTAAGTTTGGTACCGCCTGGGCACTATGAAAGCCGGACTGACGGGAGGTGCCGCCTGACTGACTCTCATGGTACTACTGAGTATGCCTCATCGAGGCATTTCGCAAACTGTCTTGAAAGTCTGAAGTAGAAGCCGACTCTGACAATCGGTCACTCTTCTTCTGCTCTAGCAGTAGCCGAGCATCTGTGAATGTTTGCTTTGACCCGTCCGCCTGAATATGACGAACCGGTTTCCTATTTCCTGTAGGATAACGGAATTTTGTGAAATCAAGGGCAGGTGGCTCCCGCTTCCTAGATTTAGGATGAGGAGTCGCCTCTCGCCCTTGAACTGGCTTCCTCTTCTGTGAAGTGGAGGGTTTCTTGGCCGACTGCTCCTTGACTGAAGCAGGCGGCTTTTTGTTGATCAACTCTTGAATCTCTCCCTTGAAGTCCCTCATGAAGGTCATGAGTTCGTTCCTTGTGATGGGAGCAGACCCATCAGTCGGCTGTTGCCGAGCAGGCGGTGCGCCTGCTGGCTCGCTTCCTGTTAGAAGATGCTCCTGTTCCCTCCTTTCGGTATGACGGGTACGTCGGGCCCTTAGGGTCCCGTCTGGAGCTGTATGAGTTTCAACTTCAAATTCACTTTCGGTGTCATGGTCCGACTGAACTTGAGGGTCGTCTAGGGGACGCCTCTCTTCAGGGGTCGGTACAGACTTGGATGCCATCTCTGAAGTACTCTCCCCACAGACGGCGCCAAATGTTTCGGGGTTTTCTGATGTCCTGCGGGAGAGTTACAATTCCGAGACTGGAACCGGACGCCTGTACCTGCAAAATAACGGAGACTCCTGAGAGCTCCGCCTCCAACGGTCAAGTTAGTACCTGATTAAGGAGTAATTAATGCGGAAATTAAAGTAATAAGGTCTCTCTAGGTGAGAGTGTTTAATGTTGGTAATCTGCTTTGTTAGCGAGATCAGCCGGTAATTAGTGTGTTCCGTAATGTTTCTGTTCTGTTCTTCAGGTGAGATTAATTGCTTGATCCCCTTTAATGAGGATTAATTAAGTATTTATAGTCTTGAGAAGCGTGCCACTCTCTAGGTTTAGGGTAAACCTAGGGCTGACCGGGCCTCTAAACAGGATTGGGCCTTGTTGGCCGGTTTTCCCATTTGGCATGGGTGGACACGTGGCGTGTCTCAATTGGTCCGTAGAGGACGTATCTGTGATTGACACGTGGCAGGCTCCTATTGGCCTACGTGAAGGACATGTGGCGGAACCTGGTTGGTCCACTTGTCAGACGGTGATTGGTGGATAAAAATCCCCTAATCAGTAGAAATGTATGAAATGATCTTGTATGTTATTGTTACAATCTGATTCATATGATAAATATGAAAGATAGTAGAAATGATTTTGTGATTTTGTTTGTTAATGTTGGTATGTGCCAAAATATATGATAAATGTAGTTGATTTGTTATGTTTGTGTATTTATGAGTAGTTTGGTTTATTTATATATGTAGGGTGTTAGTGTTGGACTTGATTTTGAAGATTATGAAGAAGAATGTGATGGTGGTGTAGAAGTTGAGGGTGAATTGATTAGTAGTGATGAAGATGGTGAAAGAGAATGTGAGTATTTAGATGAGGATGAAAGTGAGGGAGATGGTGAGGGAGTAGAAAACGATGATTTGGAAGAAGTAGAAGAGGTTGTAGGAGATGTTGGTGCAAGTGGATCAGGGTTTACAACTCCTAAGAGGAATAGGGGGATGTTGAGATTGTTTTTAGGGAGGAGGAGGAGGAAATACCACCCCTTGCGGTGGGCATGGTATTTGGTAGTTGGGAAGAAGTAGATACCTATTTTTGGAGATATGGTAGATAGAGGGGGTTTGGTATTGTTAGGGCTGCAGCTAGGTGAGGGAAGGTGAAGAAGGAATTGGGAGAAGGAAGGTGTTGTAAGCAGAAAAGGAATGCAAAGTGGACATGTCAGTGCTACGGGAAACCTTCAAGGAAGCGTAAAGTGGATGTTTTAAAGGAAGGTTTGGCACATGATGAAGAAACAGCTTTGAAGCGCTAATCAAATAAATGTGGTTGTCTAGTTGAGATGTATACTAGTGTGAATGAGGATGGGAACTGGGTAATCCGAAAGTAGAATTTGGAGCATGATGGTCACATTGTTACACCTAGAAAGGAGAAGGATGTTTCGATGTTTCGGTAGCATGAGTTGGTAGAAAAGAACAGTCACTTGGTGAAGTAGGTACAAAATGCGAAGAAGTTTAGGGTAAAAATATCTCAAATGTATAGTTCTTTTGCTCGTGAGAGCAATGGAGTGGAGGAGATGGCTTTTACTCAAAAGGACTTGGAGAATGCAGTTGCGGAGAAGAAAAAACTTGAGCTTACGGAGAGCGATGCTAATGGGATGATTGAGTATTTTAAAAAAATGAGTTTAAACAATCAATTTTTTTTTAATATATGTAGGTTTGGGAAGGATGGTGCGTTGCAGGATGTTGTATGGGTAGATGCGCGTAGTAGGGCAGCCTATAAGGAGTTTTGCGATGTAGTGTGTTTTGATAGCACCTACTTGACTAATAAATTTCATCTTCCTTTTGATGTATTCCTTGGGGTCAACCACCATGGGCAAAGTATATTGTTTGGGTGTGCCTTAATCTCTCGGGAGAGTGCAGACACATATGAGTGGGTTTTCTAAACATGATTGCACTACATGGGGGGTAAAGCTCCTTTAGCTATCCTTACTGATCAAGATCCTGCTATTCGGAAAGCTATACACATGACAATGCCTGATACGTGCCACAGGTGATGCATATGGCACATTCTTCAAAAGTTTGGGAAGTACCTACGTAAGAATGAGGACTTCGATGCAATAAAGGAGGAGTTGGAAAAAAATATCTATGGTAGTTTGGATGTTGATGAATTCGTTGATCGTTGGGAGGAAGCAATTTTGTACTTCGAGTTGGTAGACAATGAGTGGCTTGAAGGTATTTCTGAATTACTTTACTTTCTTCGTTAATTGTATGAAATTTTTGTGGTGCAAAATGTATGTTATATGTTATTGTTTTGGGTTATTTGATATTTTCAGTTTCACATTAACACAGTCACACTCACACACATAGTCACACTTTTAATTGTATACCCAGTCACAGTTTCAGGCTATTTGATAGTTTAAGTTTCACGGGTAACATAGTCACACTCACACACATAGTCACATGCCATTGTAGGTGATTGATACTTGGATACCCTATTGTTTGTGTGAACAGGGATGTATGAGGAGAGGTACATGTGGATCCCTGCCTATTTGAAGCATTTGTTTTGGGCGAGAATGAAAACAACACAAAGATCGGAAAATTTCAACCATTTTTTAAAGGATATGTTGACAGGAACACCACCTTCTCTGAGTTTGTTGTTCGGTATTGTGATGCTATGTCGATAAGAGCGGAAGCTGAAAGAATAGCCGACTCAAACACACTGCGGTATGTCAGGCCAGTAGTCACTGATTTCCCAGCGTAGTTGTTGTTCCAAAAGTGCTATAGGATGCCAAATTCAAAGAAGTGCAACGAGAGTGCACTAAGATTTTGTATTTGCGTTGCTTAGATCAAATCGAAATAGGGATTAATATAATTGAGTTTGTAATTGAGGATTGTATTTGGGTGAAGCCTAAATATGCAAGGAAAGAGGAAGTGATGAAAGCACGGATATGCTATAGGGTGTGTTTTGACAGGATCACATATGAAGCCGTATGTGATTGTAAACACTTTGAGTGTCGGGGGATAGTTTGTAGGCACATGATCCTTGTGTATGACGTGAGTGGAGTCAGCGTTGTTCTTGAGAAGTACGTTTTGCGTCGTTTTGCGGAAGGACGTGCAACGGAAGCACGTACGAGTTAAAGTGGCGTATCACGATCCATTGAAGACAGATGAAGTGAGACAGTATCACAAACTTATGCGTACCTATAAACCCATTTGCTCCAAGGCTTCTACTTGTAAGGAAGGTATAGATGCTGTTGCATAGCTTTTGCAATTGATGGATGTGAGAGTTGATGAGGTTTTCGCAATGGTAGCCAAAAAGCGTGAAGAAGCAGCAAAGGAGAGTCCTCTAGCTGCTCACACTAAAACTGCAGCTACTACTGTTCGCACTGCCTCCTCAGTTGGACAAAACAGCAGACCTGAGGGCACAAACACACCTGAGTTTTAGGTTCAGGAATGCCAAAGAGTAGCACACTAGGCAGTGCTTTTCCAAGGCAGCTGTGAAGGTTCATCCCCCGGGAGGATAAAAGACCCACTCTTGTCGAGAAAGAAGTCGCATCGAACTACAAATGTACGCTATCCCTCTTGCACAGAGAAGAAGGGGAAAGAAAAGACTAAGACAAAGGAAAAAAATGCAACAAGGGCTAGAGCAAAGAAGGCGGCAGCTGCTGCGGCTGTCCAAACACCTCTGTCAATGTCAACTAATGAGTACATTCAATCGGTTGGAGGAATTCAAATGAGAGATGTTGACGGGTCATTAGGGTACTTCACTACGCGAAGTAGAAACTCTGGTGGAGTGTTTGCAAGTTTTCTAGAAGTAACTCCAACTTACAACTGTGTGGGTACCCCAAGTTCCCTCCCCTCCTATAAATGTATCAAAAATAATGTTTAGACTTTGTATTTTTCAAGATAATTGTACCCTTGATGTGTTTTAATAATTTTTAAGCATTTCTCTTGATTTGTAAAACCAGGATTTGTAATTTTCATCCTTATTTTGTTCAGTAATAGGATTTCGATAAAGGGGGGTTGTAGTGGTACTTTCTGCATATCAATACTGTACCACATAGCCGCAGGTGGCACATTATGTTTTCATATTTAGTACCAAGGATATAATTGGTTGAAGTAACGTGTACTACTACTCCATATAAATGGTATAAATTTAATTAAAAAACGTATAGCAAAAAAAACATGAATGAGAAATAGGACTAAATTACAACGTTCAAAATATTACTAAATTAGATTTGATCAGAATTAAAACATAAACACATTGTTCAACATTACCATACTGAAACTAAGAGAATGTTCAAACTAAATAGAAATATTAGATGATTTTTTTTCAAAACATAAACTAAAAGGCAAATATTGTTGGCTGTGATTAGAGGTTATCACTCGAGTTTTTCAATGGCTGAAGTTGAGTGACCGTAATCACCGGATTGCTGGGCCAGATACTTCTGCAGACCACCGATCACGTACATGGTACGGAGCATGGGGTACGACGTCTTTGGGGCTGTCGTGGCTCCTCTGACGTACTTGCCACTGCCTCGGCCTGGGCCTGATTGGTGGCACGTCCTCCACGGGTGGCTGCACTCCTACGCCAGTTGCTTGACCGGCCTCTGCGGGTACTTGTCCAGCAACCGTTGCCCCTTGTCCAGTACCATCACAAACTCGTGCACGGCTTGCTGCACCACGGCCACCACCCCTCCCAGACACCCTGTTAATCGCCGCTGTTTAGCAACCTTGGTGGGTCTTTTTCGGCCCCCCAGCCGCAGAAGACTTTTGTTCACACTTCCAGTCTGTGCGACGGAGTTGTCTGCCTTCCCCTTTTGAATGCTAGGAATGGTAGACGTGACATCTTGCAACTGAGCCTGCAATGCACTGCATATGAACTGATGATCGTTTAATTACTGAACATCTTCTCCTTCAATTGGAGGAATTGTAAGTATCTTGGTTTATTAGTGTCTGACTTTACCATCGGTTGTTTGCCTTTGTTTTGTTTCACCATTTTCAGAAGTTGAAGAAAGGAAAAAGTAATAAAAAATATAAATAAAAAACTGAAATAATATTTTTGATATCTTCGAACAAGAGGACAGAGACAGAAAAACAAAGCAGAGAAAACTAATAGGAGAGAGATAGTTGAAATGGGAGAATAGAATACTACAAGAAAACTAGTTTTTGGCAATAGTAAAAGTCGTTGCTAAAAACAGATTGTCGTAGCAAAATATAACTTTAGCAACGACAATTTTCGTTGCAAGGTCGTTGTGTGTATGGGTGTCACAAAAAATGGGAGCAACGACTTTCATCGTTGCTAAAGAAATGTTTTTAACAACGACAATTATCGTTGTAATAAATTTTTCGTTGCCATACATAGTGTTAGTAGCCATATGGAATATATTTATAACAATGACATTTGTCGTTGTCAAAGATGTGTTTCGCAACGATATTTCACGTTGCAAAATAATATATATATTTAGCTATGACAAAAGTCGTTGCAAAAAACGATCAATGTTATTAAAAAAATGAGTAAATAAAATAAAGTTCATTTTGCTCAATTTTTCCCTCAATATTGATAAAGAAAGACATATACATAAAAAACTTGAATATTTTCATTTATAAATTACTGTAATATTACAATTTAATCCCAAAGAAAGTATTTTTATTTATCGTTCAAAGTTAAAATATTGCAATATTTAATAGCATAGGCAGCAGTGACAACAATAGAATCAGCAGCAATGACGGCAGCAGCGACAACAATAGAATCAGCAGCAATGTAGGCAGCAACAATATATATGCTTGAATGAAAACCAGGGATACCTTGCTCTCAATTTGTCAAGAGCAAACACAAGACGACTTGTTTTAAAACCCACAAATCAAGTATATATGAATAGCAGAAATATTTCTATAGGTTATTATTCTTGAGTATAATTGAGCTATCTAAAAATTGAAAGAAACAGGAAGAGACGACATACCTTAAACTCATTAACCTCATCAAGACCCTCTGATTTGAATAATGCCCACCTGCAAGCGCAATCACAATAGGGTGTCTTTTGTCTTTCTCCATTTCATATAGTGTACAAACATAGCTTATGGAGATTCTTAATAAATTAAAGTCTAACAATATTTTAACTTTACACATTTATTGTGAATAAAACTAAATGCTTGATATCCAAAGGACCTGGATCCTGCTCACCATCACCTAATTAATTAGATTATTACAGACATGGTAGACAACCAATAATAGGAGATTAGAGTAAATTACATAAATAGAGGCTAACCTCTTTTTATCTTACATGAAAGGTTGGCTCTTGACGTAATGTGTTTCTTCGCTAGTAAAGCTGATATGGAGTCAGGATAGTGAAACTTATAGTATTAGATTGCAATATGAAGAAACTAAAAGATGGAATAGCAGAAGTTCACACGGTAGAAGAAATAAAAAGATGGGGAAGCATAAGAGAGCAACACTAAATATGGCAGAATATTTTTAAAACTCTGATCATATGCCTATATAATATAAGAGATATAATCTAACTTGCCAAAGCTAGCTAAACAGAGCAATAGTAAACAAAGGAAAATATGGCTGAAACCTTTTCGAACACTAATTTTATGGGTATATAACATCAGAGAATCCAACTTGGCAAAGCTGTCAAATAGCCATCTACAACTTTTTCTAGTTGAAAACAATAAATATAAGAGAAGCGTAATTGTAGGCGTCGCTCGAAGTGCGCCTACGTTAAAAGCATGTGTGAATATGCTTGGCACTCATAGGATGTGGGAATTGACATAATATGATTAGGGACAAGGAAAGTAAGGAGCCGCCAACAAGTTTTTAAGGAACTTGTAAACCGTTCACGGATCATAAAATGGCAACCACGATAAGGAACAACGATAGGCAACAACGATTGACCCGTGAAGGTTACACCCCATTCAAAATCCATGAGATTACTAACTCCATATGGTTCAAAACCGTTCACGGATCATAAAAAGGCAACCACGATAAGGGACAATGATAGGCAACAACGATTGACCCGTGAAGGTTACACCCCATTCAAAATCCATGAGATTACTAACTCCATATGGTTCAAAACCACGAAAGGAGGATCGGGGATGATGGTACGAAGTGAGTCATGGAGTCACATTCACCTATATTGGCCTCTACTCGATTCTTATAGTGAAAAATGATTCCTACGATCTCAAAGGCATACAAACAGAGATTCAATTCGCTCCAAACTATAATTAAGCTAAATTGGTTGAATATTAATGCAACACATAATTCTAAAATATTGTGATCACTTGATTAAATAACAACATTAAAAAGGAACCTAAACCGGTTGTCCAAATTATCTTATTAAGCGTGATTTTCAATTACATATTCCCTTTAAATATGCAATATGGTGATCAATAAATATAATAGAATAACATCAATATTGGAAGCAATTTAACAATAATTCCAACAATATAAAATCGTTAGAAAAATAATAGAAATAAAAGGAACATAATTCTTACTTTGATTCTGTTTGCTTGCAACTACAAAAAAATAAACGAGTTAGTAACTTCAAGGAAATAATAATAAAACAATAATTAAATTAAATTAAATTAAGTAGAGTTGATTTGGGGCCAAACCCTCAAACGGTTCTACCTTTCACGCCTTGGCTTAAGGACATAACCACGAGTAAAGTATGGACTCTTTGGAGTGCTTAAAGAAGAAATTTTGAAAAAAAAGGGGTAGGCTAGTGTTTAGGCTAGAGCAAAGAAGAGAGAAAAATATCGAATTAATTGATGCCCCGTACATCAGATATGAGGGGGTATTTATAGAAAAAAATGTGATGAGGGAACTCACGGAACCCTAAAATGATAAAAACCCTAAAATCAAAAACCGCGACACGACACTGTGTACCGTGACACGGGAATTCCCACCGTCAGATGGGAAAAATTCCCGTGACGCGGTGAACAATTATGTGACGTGGGAAATATTTTAGGGTACGGGGAATAAAACGCGTGAAGGGTTTAGGCGGAACGGACACGGAAACTCCCGTGTCACAGCAGGTTTTCCGTGTCACGGGAAATCCTACTATCAGACGGGACAGTTTCCCGTGACACGGTGGACTATTGCCGTGACGCGGGAATTTTTAGCCCGTTTTTCCATCTAAATTCATTTTTAACCCTAATTTCGTTCAGTATTTTGAGTGTCGATTGATAATTTCGTTCAGCAAATAAAATAAATAAAATGTTTGGGCCAAAATAAATAATAAAACAATAAAGTAAAAAAGGTTTGGGCTGAAATTAAAAAATCTATGCTTTGACCAAATATCAAGACTGATCCATAGACTATCTAAAAATTGAATTTAATTAAATACGATTTTTTAAGCACTCTCGTGATTAAATACTGAACCCAACCAATAGAGACGGTGAAAGGTTGTTCATCATAGGTTTTGGTTTTGGGAACATTTTTAGGTGTCTAAAGAAGCCCCCACTTTGACTGAGTTTGTAGAAACGTCAGTTTCAAAAACGATAGTCAAAGTAGTCGATAGGGACGGAGAATGATTTAAGACGTTCTGCGATCCTAAATCACTCTGTATACGCCAATACCTGCAGAAAAATGTTAGTTCCACAGATAAAAGAGTAAAGGGATAAATGCTTATCTAACACCAGTGTATCGGTGACAAATGAGTTTGGTAGCTTCCTATGCTTGAAGGAATCCACTAGATGACATTTGTTGAAATGCTTTCCATGCTTGAGGAAAGCCGATAGATGAGTTTGGTAGCTTTCTAAGCCTGAAGAAACCTACCGGATGACACTTTCCATGCTAGAGGAAAGTCGACATATGATTTTGGCGTTTTTCTATGCTTGAAGAAATCCACCGATAATGCTTTCCATGCTTGAGGAAAGACGACAAAGTAATTTGGCGGTTTTCTATGCTTGAAGAAATCCATCGGATAATACTTTCCATGCTTGAGG